ATTCACTCTGGACAGAATACAGGAAAAGTGTCTGATAAGAAAAAGAAACCAAAGATTCAGATGATAAGTAGAATCAAGAATAACACGCAACATAAAATATAAATGAAATAAGGCAGAAAAAACACAGGCAAAGAAGGAAAAACAAAAGAAACAGAAGATGCTCCTATTAAGTAAACAGCATCTGAATTTTAAAGAGAAGCAACACACACCAGCTTAGAAGCAACACACACCAGCTTAGTAGCAGCCAGTCCCTGGCTTGAGGCCCTAGGAAATTATACAAGGAGGCCCTTTCCCCCCAATTTTTTTTTCTTTTTTCTCCCCAAAGCCCCAGCACATAGTTGTGTATCATAGTTGAAGAGTTATAGCTCTTCTATGTGGGAGGCTACCTCAGCAAGGCCTCAGGAGTGTTGAGTAGGTCCACACCCAGGATCAGAACCAGCCAACCCTGGGCCTCCGAAGCAGACCCGGAGAACTTAACCACTACACCACCAGGCAGGCCCCCCTTTCCCCTGAATTTTCATACAGAGAAAGCAGGTGAAAACAAACACTAAGGCAGCAGTTTCTTCTTCTCCTCTTCCTCCTTCCGCTCCTCTTCCTTCCTCTTCCTCTTCCCCCTCCTCTTCTGGGGTTAGGCGTAATGAGGGCATAGTAGATTCAGGGCTCTCCATAAAAAACTAAACATATGGAAAGCACACACGAGGAGCTAACAACTGAAGGATAGTTCTACAAATTTGCTTTAGCAATTGGAAGGTTTTTAACACATTATTATAATGAAAAAAAATTGGCGCCAAGTAAAAATGTTTTCCTGCCTTCCCTCCTGCACGGAGTCACTGCCCAGTGGCCAGTAACCCAGCTCACGGCAGTCTCCCAGACTCCCTGTCCCCTGGAGATGGACCTCTGATCGCTACAGCGCACAGATCCCGCCATATTTATAGGAAACACTGCCACTGTTCTGCTTAACCCATCAGTCCAATACCGAACTTGAGGCAGCACCGGCTGGGCAAACCGAGATGAAGGGCGTTGACACAGCAACACGAAATGGTCCCAGACAAGAAAACGAAATCCAGAAACCCAACGAGGGAATCTTCTCTTCTCACTGAGATTAAACAAAAAATTAAAAAAAAAAAAAAGATCCCAGCCCCAGGTGGCGTGTGGCGAGAGGCTGCGGAGCATTCATCAGGCCAAGCAGGCGAGGTCAGCTCCGATTACTCCCCGGTAGTTAGTTCACTGATTTCTGTGGCTCGTGTCCAGGATTGCATAACAGACAGACATAGAGGCCCAAGGGGGTGAGGATGACCCGGAAGGGCCCCGCGCCTCCCGCCTCCTCGCGAGGTGCAGCCGCGCGCGCGGCTGCCCTGGTGCACTCATTGCAGGGGAAGGATTCGGGGAGCGCCCGGCAGCGTGCAGAGGAGATTTTTTCTCCAATTTAGCCACTGCCACACGCCATTACCTCGCGGGAAGGCTCTTTGTGAGACCTGGACCCGGGCAGCCGAGAAGAGAGGCCACGAGATGGCAGCAGAGGACACAGCCCAGGACACAAAACCAGAATCATTTGCAAAGCGGATATTTCTTTTGGGAAATACCGTCCGTTGCCTATAATCATGTATTTAAGGCCAGAATAAATGACTGAATTTCAAAGAAACGAGGGTAAAATTATCAACATGTCCCAACCACCACAGAATTCAGCTGCATATGAAGCCACATATGAATCGGATATTTCTCCAATGCTTAAAGCAAGGGATAGGGGTCAAGGCCTTTAAAAACTGACGTCAGGAGGAACATTGTCCAGTCATTTCTTTCTGTGAAGTCCCAGAGGGCAGCAGTTCAAGTAAAATATGAGTGACTTCCACAGAAGCTGCCAAACTGATGAAGAAAGGGGCAGATACAGTGGTTGCTGGGAAGCATTGCAGCAAAGCAGAATGCTTTCATGGAGCAGCTGGGGACTCCAGCAATGGGGAGCGTGGTGCGGGAATAATGAGGATCACAGGACAGTCCTCAGGCAGTTTTTACTTACAGCTAGGAGAGGATAATGCACAGGAAAGGGGCATCAATAGCATTGGGACTAAATCTCCAATCCTCTGACTTCTCATCTAATGCTCCTTTCATTACATCTCCCCCCCACCCCAGTTGTTACTACCAAAAATGTCTCTAGACATTGCCAAATAATCCCTGGGGGGCAAAATGCCCTCTCCCTGAGAATGAATGCGGTGGAGGGATGTGATAAAAAAGGTTTTAAGAATGTAATGTTAAACCTCTCCAAGATTCTTGAATTTCAGAAGACATCTCGAAGGCTTATGAGAACCGTATTGCACATCCCAAACCCAAATTCCTACCATCTGTTTGTATAACGGAGAGACTATAATTGAAGGACTATAGGCTGAATCTGGTTCTCAATTCTTAAAAAGTTAGTTATTAACATTTTAAAATCAGAAGATTTCACATTTAAAAAGTCAGAATTTCTGACTTTTACAGGAAAATTGGAACTATGGCAATACCAGGCCCACAGTCCCACGTGGCAATAATTGGATGGAGTTGAGTGTGGGTAAAGTCTTTAGATTTTATTTATTTATCTTTTCCCCCCAAAGCCCCAGTAGATAGTTGTATGTCACAGCTGCACATCCTTCTAGTTGCTGTATGCGGGACACGGCCTCAGCATGGCCGGAGAAGCGGTGCGCGTCCGGGATCCGAACCCAGGCCGCCAGCAGCGGAGCACGAGCACTTAACCACTAAGCCACAGGGCCGGCCCAAAGTCTTTAAATAGAATGTGTGCTCTCTAGTTTGCCACAGTCCCCACCACTCTCTATTACGTCATACATACCCAATCTGCTTTATTCATTTACACTACTCCTTGTCCCCATAGGCAATTTATTTTCAACCTCTGAAGCACTTTATAGTTTTAAAGTATTTTTCCTTTCCAAACGAAATGTGTGATTTTATTTTAGCCTTGATACTCCAGTAAGGTAGAGAGGATAAATACTATGATTATAATCTCCATGTAATCAAAATGTAGTTCAGGGACGTTTGACTTGCCCAAACTTACACAACAAAACCAGAATCTAGTTTTCTTGATTCCCAGGCCTATTATTTTTTTGGGAAAAGTTTCTATTAAGAACTTGATTTAGTGGTTCATGGAACAAAACCAAAAAGTAGATATGGGCATAACTGCTGGAATGGATGAGTTCCAACTGCTAAGCTGTTCGAGAATCACCACAAATGATGAACTCTTCTTCTTTTAATGAAGTATTTCTGCTTTCCTTCTCCTTCCAGGCATATGAAAAGATTGCCCTTCTAGCTGTCTTGAAGTTGAGTGTGGCTATATGACTTGCTTTGGCCACCGAAATGTGAATGGAAGTGATATGTGTCCCTTTGGGGCAGAGCATTTAAGAGCCCATGAACAATTCTTCACTCTTACTTCACATGGCTGGGGTGGGGGTGGGGGGGTGCTCTAAGCCTCATGGCGACATGGTAGGATCTCAAAATGGTGGTGCTCCATGGCTTGGGTACCTGAATAACTTATAACGAGTAGAGCCCTCTGCCAGACTACCCTAGACATGCAGTGTGAGAGATAAGCCTTTGTGATTTTAAGCCATTGAGATTTGGGCACTGTTACACAATATAGCCTAGCCGAACCTGACTGACACAAGGTTCACTTGCATGGTCATTGAACTTCTCCAAGAACTAGAATGCAAATCCTAGACTTCTGATCATAACGCTAAAGGCTCTTGCTCTTCTCTGGAAGAGGGTGAGAGCAAATTATTGATTCCCTGCCCCTCCCCCCACATCTACTACCACCTTCTGATTTTGAAGAAAATTATTTTCTGAGTCCTTCACACTTGAGCTCTCCATTATGGCAGATAGATTGGAAGGAGGAGGGGAAGGGGGAGGCCCAGATCTTGTGTTCTCCATTCCAGAGCCTAATCCTAGAATTGTCTCCACCCACTAGTACTCACACACCCTTGTCATAGGGCGACTATTACCACTCCCAAGGTGTCACAAACAGAAAGGGGCTGCCGCTGGCACCACTGCAATGTCAGGGCCAGGCAGCCAGGCTGCGCTCTTTCCTCACTGGTGCCTGGGCTTGGCTGAGCCCGGAGAAGCAGCATTCTCTAGGGAAAGAAGCCTTCTCAAGTGGGAACAAAAATGAGTGTGAGGCGCACACCCATCCTGGGCACTATGTGACTTTGGGGTGAGTTCTCTCAGTACTCCAGCTCTGGTCAATTTCTAGTTTCTCTAGCGGCTAGTAACTTGCCCGGCTGCTGCTACTGGGTCTCCCAGTTTTCCTGGGCTTTTCTCCAGCCCACCTGAGCTTGTCATCTTTGCACACTTGCAAAGGTCATAAATGGTGGGGGTTGAGCGCAACCAGACTTCAGGAACCGGACTGCAGGGGGATCAAAGGTCTCGGCGGGGCTGCCGAGAGGCCGAGCCTGCGCAGTCCCGCTCCCGCCTTGGAGAGAAAGGGTGGCGGCAACGCGGGCTCGTTACACCCGCGTGCTCGCAAGAGGCGGGAAAGTTTTGGGTCGGGTCGCCGCGTCCCTCCCTCTTCCTGCCCGGTCCACCCTTCTGCCCCGCGAGCCTGTCCTCCTCAGGCGCCCAGGCCTCGGGGGAGGGGGACGAGAAGGGCCCTAGGCTTCTGACTCATCATCTCCAACCCCTTTCTCGCGCGCGCTCCAAGTCTCAGGACTTTGGACCTCGGCACGGTGGGTGGGGGCGCGGCGACAGCATCTGGGAAACCCCAGCTCTGCAGAGGGCCAGCCTCCAGCCCCTGCCAGTCTCCGAAGCTGCCAGAGGGAAGGGTGGGGGCCCACAGTGAGCTCTCAGTTGCCGAGGTTGGGATGGCGCGCCCCCACGCACAATAACCCGCCCCGCTCCTCCCTACACACGAGGCCAGTGGTCGCGTCCGAGGAAACTCGGCTAGGCCCCAACTTCCAGCGCCTCGCGTCACTCAGCAGATGCACAGCGCCCCCACCGCGGAGGGAAGGCCCTTTATTTCCCAGCAGGCTACGGGGCAGCGGGGCCTCCTGGGACTTGTAGTCTCCGTTACAGTAGAAAGGATCCAAGGGAGAGAACTAAAGCACCCATGAATTGATTTCAGAGAGTAGGCGTTTCCAGGAACCGGGCTTGGAGAGGATGAGATTGTGAAAGGTGGAAAGAAGAGAAATAGTGAGATGAGGCAGATGTGAAGTTGTATAGGGAGGCGGCGGGGAAGGAGGGTAAGGATGGAAGGGAAGAAGTGGGCATAGCTCAAAGTTGGCTTAAGGATGCCCTGCAAGCGGGCAGCTTTGCAGGGCGGTGAGGTGAGGGAAGACTCTGGTCTACAGTCTAGAAAGGGGCCTAGTGTGAGTGAAAGTCGAAGGCACTCCGCTGGACTTCATGTAGGTCTCAAGGGACTCCATCTAGCTTCTGAGTTCAGTGCGGTGGGGTGCAGGAGAGTTTGGACGATGCTCCCGCAGGGCGGGAGAGCAGCACCTGTCTGCTTCCCCTTGCCAGCTCACTCATTTGTTCCGTTTGCTGTGCTAGCCACCCTGGGACCATCCTCCAAATCAGGAACTTCCTCCAACTCAGAGAGACCCTAAAAACCAGACAGAGGTGTCAGGGGAGCAAACTGTAGGGGTGAGAAAGGAGGAATCCCAGACAGAAGCAACTTCCTCTTCCTCTGCCATTTCTTCTCATGTTCCTATTTCTTCTCATGTTCCTGTAGCCCTTCCACTACTTAGGCAGCTTCCCAATGCTCTCCCACATTTCTAGCCCCAACCATTTAGATACCCAATTCCCTTTTACCCACCACTGGGAGAGAAATGTCCAAAGCCAGAAAACCAATCAGTTTCAGTCTAGGACTCCTTCCTTTCCCCCCTGTTCCCTTGTTTTCCCTGAAGTACCACTGACCAGGATAGCCAGTGAAAAAATGAGCTGCTAGCTAGCTGCTCCAAACTCTCCTCCCAGCCCTCATTACCTCCTGCAGCTCCTGGTAGTGCTGACTCTGGCTCCTGCAGCATCCTGGCTTCCTCTGGCTCAGCAGGAACAGGGAGTATGCTGAGACCAGCACTCCTCCTAGGGTGAAGGCCTCAGCACTGAGCTCCAGCACCAGCAAGCCGGCCAGCTGTAGGCAGACAGGGCTGAGGATGCTGCAGAGGACCCAGCATCTGTTTGCCCATGCCCTTTTCTCTCTCCGTCTCCTCTTGCCTCCTCATCCTCCCACCTTCTCCTTTATTCACCCGTACCTGGGAGGGGGCAGTTGAGGCAGGCCCCAAGGCTGTCTTCATCACCTCGACCACCACTGCGATGAAGCCCAAGATCAGATTGAAGGTGTTGAATATCATCATGGCCCGCACCTGCCAGTGAGCCAGCTCAGCCCTGTCCAGCCTAGGGGACGCATTGGAACCCCAAGCCCCACCTGCAGCCTAGCTGAAAACAAAACTCAGCTCCTATTCCTCCACCTCCAAACAGGGCCATCAGCCCTCTAACTTTCTTGCTTTCCCTCCTGAATCTTTTAGGCCAGTTAGGGGCAGAGATCTGACAGGATTAGTCAACACTTAGCCACTTCCTGGGCTGAGAGTGTGTGTGTCTGTTTTGGGGGGTGGGAGAATAGTACTGCATTCTCTTCCCCTCTCACCTTCCAGAGGCGGGGTGCTCTGCGCAGCTCAAGGGTAATAATCCCAGTGAGGAGACCCTGAATGGTGAGAAAGGCAAGTGTTGAGCTCTGGCCCCATTAGAGAGGGGCCCCCAGGACCTTCCATCCTCCCTTGTGGTGGGTCTTACCAATGCTCCAGGCCCAAGTGGCAGTGCTGTGGCCATATGACAGGCAGAGTTCAAGCAAGCAACTGAGACAGCAAAGGGCACCACAGCCACTGCCAGCCATAGCTGGCTCACCTGGAGGCCGGATGCAGGGTAGTTGGGGAACTGTCAGGGATTCCCTTCCCTCCTGTCAACCCCTCCTCTTCCAGAGGTCAGCAATTGGGAGGAATGCATGGTGGCAGAAAGTACTCAACCAAGGGCAGTGAAGGGAGAGGGCATTATTTTTTTCTGCCTCATGTCACAGTTTAGTTACTTACCTATGTGTTTTCCCCAAATGATGGAAGCTACTTGGAGATTAAAGGTCTTGCCTTGTTTATTCTATGCTTCCTCCACCCCCCTCCTCCCACTCAGAGCCTAGCACAGTTTTAGGCACATGGTAGGTGCTCACTAAACATGGATGGAATTGAATTGGGCTACAAGTGGACATGCTGAAGTTTGGGGTGGGGCAGCCTGGCCTCACCGCCAGCACCAGGAGGTGCCCACTCCACCTATGCCTTGCCCAGTGCTGTAGCTTTTCCAGACGAAGGCTGGGTCTCTCCTGCTCTCGTTGATCAGCTCTCTCCTCCATGGCTCCCTCGACCAACGGAGCTCAGTGCGTCCTAGGCCAGGAAAAATGCGTTATGACACCTATCAGGAGACAGGACGTGCAGCAACATCTCTTTCAGCTGCCCCTCTGCCCACTTCCAATATCCAGGGAGTTGAAGCTCAGGGCCTCACACCTACCTAGTCTGAAGCAGCTCCTCCAAAAGAGATGGGACACAGCTGGGCCTGAAGCTCCTGGCAGGGCCTGGTAGCTCAGAGCAGATGACAGACTTGTCCTGGGAGAGACACGCTGTCAGAACTGGGGTGTGGTGGGGCAAAGGTCCCCACGAGGGCCTAAGGATCCAGGGAGTGGCCGTCGGTAGACACCAGCCTCAGTTCACTCCACAAGACTCCCAGCCCTGCCTCGCTCTGTTCCCGTTTCCTTTTGCCCCCATTTCTACCCATCCTGGGTCCCTCTTCTGAATACTCACCTCATCCCCATGGACACTACCACCCTAGGCCCCAATTTCCCCCCATTTCCATCTAATCTTTCTTCTTCTGTTGGCATCCTCCTCAAATTACTTGTTGTTCCCTAGGGAAATCCCATATTACCGTCTGGATTGGTCCCCTGTCATTACCACTTGCAGCTTTGTCCCAAGACCAGGCAAGGTTTAATTCCCTTGGCTTCCTTCCCTCACTTTCTGGACAGTTTCTCTTCTCTTCTTCCTTTCTTGAAGGACTTACTCTGGATGGGACTAGGTGGATGAGGAGCCCTATTTATAGAGGGGATTGCTTTTGACTCAGTGATAACCTGCAGTTAGACATGTACAGAAGATGGTCCCCAAATGGCCAGTCTTGGGAAGGACAGTATTGCAACAATTAATATTTCTGAGAGATAGAAGTGGCCTTGCAGCCAGGCAGACCTGGACTGGAATCTCAGCTCTGCCACTTTCCCAGCTGTGTGACCTTGGATACATTATTCTATCTATTTGAACCTCAGTTTGTTCAAACTGAGTGTTAAAACGGTGGCTAATAATATGACTGTGAAGGGTTGACTCATGGTGGGTGTTTAATGACCATTAGTGGTGTTGATGAAGTCATACTGATGTGCCTGATGCCCATATACTACAGGGTTTATTCAGATGCAAAGCTGGGGACATTTGTTTCTACAGTAAGAAGCAGAACATATATACTCTAAAGATCAAAAATAGGAAAGGCCCATCTTGGTGCAGAGCCTGAGGTCAGGAAGCAACCAGACTTATGTTCAAATCCCAGATCTACCTGGGTGACCTTGGGCAAGTTACTTAATCATTCTGTTTCCCTATCTATAAAGGGAAGTTAATAATACCAGTCTCAAGGGGTTGCCTTGAGTACATATTAAAAGAGAAAATGCATATGAATCAGCCTAGCCCAGCACCTGGCAAAGCACTCAATAAATGTTAGTGGCTATTATCATTATTATTATTGATGACAGAAGAAGGCTGAGCCAGAAGACCTCTGGGAATTAGTACCAGGAGGCAGGGTCCTAGGAGGCAAGGAGCTTTCTTTGTAAGCCACTTCTGCCCTGCTCAGTGCTGGGCCAACACTCACTGGAGCACTGTGTCCACTCTTCTTTCCTGGGGAGTGGGAATCACATTTAAAGGGACCCTGGGAACTGCTGTGTGTCTACTCCCTCTTGGATCCCCGTGTGCATTAACTGTATTTGGTGGTGATGGCCTGACATAGTGTCAGATGTTAGGCTTGCACCGAGGACCCCTGAGCCGGTAGGCCAATGGAAAGACATTCTTTAGGCTCGTTTTTCTTACCTTAAGTGCAGACTAGTTATATTTCAGAGTGTTATTGTAAGGATTATATACCATTAAATATGTGAACAGGCATTCAGTAAATATTGACTAAATCTGAATATACTACGCACAAATGTGTAGTCCCTGTCTGGATTACAATCTCCTTGATGGAGGATACTACATCCCCCTCATCTGCTCATCCCCCACAGCGCCAAGCATAGTGCCTGGTACTTAGTAAGCACTCAGTATATATTTGTTGTACTGAAGAGCCATTAAAGTGACTTAAGGAATGGAAAAGAGAGTTCGAGAGGAAGGAGCAGGAATTGTTGTTTAATCAAGAACAGAAAGGACCGAAGAGTAACTTTAATGATGTTTCTTATACGGCAGACATTAACTATCTCTATAATCGCCCCTCCTCCTCCCCAAAAAGAGACACAGAAATTGTAAGGGAGAGGCTTTGAGATAAAACCCCAGGAAGAACTTCCCGAGTCTGTGCATGTTGGGGCAGAAAGAGCGGCAGAGCCAACTCCTTCCCTGGTATGTCCGGGTTTAGGGTGGGAGGGGCAGTCCTGCTTGGAGGCTGGGGGAAGGACGAGATGACCTTTCAAAATCTCTTCCAGTCTCCTGTTGGAATCGTCTGTGCGCCCCACCCCCGCTCCCTCCCTCCCTCCCTCCCTCCGACAGCGCCCCCCGTCTCCAAACTGCCCGCACCCCGCCCCTGGCGGCCGCCTCTCGCGGCTCCCGGGGTCCCCAGCTCCCTGTCCCCGGAGCCAGAGCCCCGCTCCCGCTCCCGCGCGGCTCCCAGCCCCGCCGCGCCGCCCCCCGCATGCTAATGGCCGGGCCGCCTCCCGCCGC